GGCTCTCTCCTGCCAGCAGGTAGCCCTCCACCAGGTGCACACAGTAATCCACTGAGGAGCCCACAAGGATGGAGAGGGAAATGGCCTCAACTGCACCCATCTCCCAGCCAGACCAGTACATGATGGTCACCACCAGGCAGACCACCCCTGCACAGAGAAGCCAGAGAGGAACGTCAAGCAAACTACAGACTCTCACTGAGGACCAGCCCTAGTCAGTGCAGCTCCACCGAGCTCAACAGGGGATGGAGGGAACTGTCTATGCAGTATGCTTACAGGCTGCCCTGACCTATCTGGGTTGTACCTTCCTCCCCATGTGGGGTGGAAAAGGGCAGAGCCTCTCTGCACTTGGGTAGGGGACCTGGCCTGCACTCTCAGCTCATTAAGCACTTGTGTGCTGTGCTGATGGGGGACCAGGTGCCTAGATTTGACGGAAGGCTGGGGAGAAGAGACAGACAGACCGCTAGGAATGAGCATGCTGTAAAGCCAAAAGAATGCTTGGCGAAGAGCACAGCGAGCGAGCGAGCGTGTGTGCGCGTGTGCGCGTGCGTGTGCATATCCTCCCACCCCCCAACATGAAAGAGGCTTCCTTGGTTTGCCTGTTGGAGTTCTGCACACCACATGGGCATGCATAAGTATGTGTGTGCGCATTCCTATACCTGCCACATGAAAAAGGCTCCTGTGGTTTGCTTGCTGGTGCATGTGCACCTACCCGTTCTCTTACTGGCATTCTGTGCAGTGTCTGACCCCAGCACTCTTTCCTGCCTAGGCAGGGGGTCGGGCTCAATGATCTGTTGAGGTCCCTTCCGACCCTAGCTTCTATGAATCTGCCTGTGTGCATGCGCATTCACCTACCCACTCCCTTAGTTTGCTGCTAGCATTGTATGCAGTGTGTATGTCCGTGTGTATGTGCATGCATACACGTGTGCATACACGTGTGCATACATGTGTGCATGTATTCACCTACCCGCTCCCTTGGTTTGCTTGCTGATATTCTGCACAGTGCGCACGCTTCGCTTTTAGGCAGTGAGCACTGTTTATCTGTCAGCCATGAGTGGGAGACTAAGTGGTTTTAAAATGATAGATTTGATTTTTATACTGAGAAGTTTAGCAACATGCTTAGTCCATAATATTGTCAAAGCCCAGCCAGGGACAGGGAGCCTATTTACAAATTTGTTTAAAACACTAACAAACCCACTAACATATGCAGCTTTACTCAGGCCCCCCCACGGCTTGGAAACAGCAGAGGTGGCGCTGTGCTTTGGAATGGAGAGCGATTGTTATTCGAAGCATGTGGGACTTAATCACATTATTATACATAAGAGGCAGGGATGGCGTTTGTGTAGCTCAAACCCTTATTTAAACAAATAGAAGGGATTATGGAGATGAAATGCTCAAGAAATTAGGCACAAGGCTCTTTTATCGCAATGCAGCCCTTTGGCACGCTCAGGGCAAGTGGTTCCTCCCCCTTATGCCTGGGTCAGACAGGAGTGACCCTAGCAGTTATGTGGGTGGAAGGGAGAGAAAAATTAAGTCCAGAGAAGTGGCCTGGGTGGAAATCAGGAGTAGGCAGAGCTGTATCAAAGCAGAATGGAGCCCTGCCGCTGGCTCCTGCAGATGTTCAGTGCAACCTGCTGGGGGCATGCTCTTACCTAGGATGCTCAGCAGCACCGGCAGCAGGAGGAGGACATGGGTGGTGAAGACAGCAACTGCCGCCACACAGATGACCAGTGAGAGGATGAGGCCATACAGGGCACTCTGCACTCCTGCAAGACAACCACACCCCCGGCATGGTCAGGGCACCGGGTGGGAGCACGGCCCATCGGAGGTGGGCAGGGCGCAGCTGTGGGGTTCACCCTGTTGAAGCCCTGGCTGGCCAGCATACAGAGGGGCACTAGGTTAGGTGAAGGGGAAGATGCATGGGGCCAGGGATCAGGAAGTTTCCGCCTGCATCATGGACCTACTGTGTGGTCTCAGGCAAGTCGCTCTCTGCCAGTGCCTTAGTTTCCCCTCCTGCCCTCGCTCTACTCTGTCTTGTTTGCTTTGCAAGCTCTTGGGGGCACAGACCTCCCCTCATTCGGTGTCTGACCAGGGGCAGACTGCTCTTGGCTGGGCATGGGGGTGCAAGCCCAAGGCAACATGGGGTGCAGGTGTCAGGAAAAAGCTCAGGTGAGTAGGGGCAGGGCATGATGTGGGGGAAGGAGGCTAAGGCCACCTGCCTATGATCTCCATGAAGATTTGCTTCCAGTGCTCACAGGTCTGGAAGCCGCGGCGCAGGGCAGAGTCCTCGGGCAGGAGCTGGAGCTGCTGCTGCAGGAACGTCTCCCACTTGAGGTAGTCAGAGTAGGTCTGGAAGGATGACTTGCCCTTGTAAGTTGTCTGTGAGGAAGGGAGTGAGTCATTTCTGGGTTGACAGAGCAGCGATGCCCCCTGCTCCTCCAGGCTAGGGGGCTACCTCATTCTGAGTCCCAGCAGGAGAAGCAGTTGTATTGATCTGCACCTTTCCCTCTGCCTTGTCCCCCTCCTTGGGGCTTTGTCTCAGTGATAGGGGTGACTGTGTCCCCACCCGGCTCAGAGCCAGGACTCTTTCCAGGTGCCCCTGCACAGCTCAGGCTGCCAAAGGGATCCACCCCCATGTGGGGATGGCATCGTCTCTAGCCCAACTGCCAGGGCCAGCTTTCTGTCGCCAGCTGGCAGGTGGGGCAGGTCGGGAGCCCGGGGCGGCACCCTCACCGATTCAAAGGCCATGGAGATCCACTGCACCTTGCCGTCCTTCACCCCCACTGCCCCATGGGAGAGCTGCCCGGGCAGCAGGTTCGGCTCGGGGATGTTCTTGCACTCAGGGTGCAACATCTGCAGAAAGGAGGAGATGCTGTAACCTGAAGAGGAAGAAAGAGCAAGGGGTAGGGAAGGGGCAGGGACACAGGAGCAGGGGGGACAGAAGAGAGAGTTGCAGTTCTTGCTCAAGAACAGCTGCTTCTCCTTGCAGTCTCTCTGCATGCCACAGAGGACTCATGTACCACCCCATGGAGCCCCTCATTCCTTAGGGCCCAGTGCTCTCAGCTCCCACTAGCTCAGGGAGGAGCAGATGCCAGGCATCCCGCACAGGGCCCCAGACAGTCCCTGAACAAGCATGAGGCCATAGTAGGTGGTCAAGCTGCCAAGCCAGGGGACAGTGTCAAGACCCAGCATGGGGGGGGACCCATGGGCAAGCAGGAGGAGCAGCACAGCTGAGAACACAGGATGGACAGGGCAGGGAGATGGCTCCCAGCAGGCAGCAACCACAACCTTGGCCTCCTATTCTGAAACCATCCCAGGATACCCAGACAGATGTCCACTTCCAGCTGGTGCACCCTGCTGCTGCACCGTCTACAATCCTGGCCCGGGGCTCCCCATCTTCCCTGAGCAGGGCCAACACCCCTGCGAGCTGCCATGACCAGCAAGCTTCCAAGGGCACGGCTGCTCCCCTGGAGTGAGGGGGGGGGATCAGCAGCTTAGTATCAGCCACCCCCTGCCTGAGTGACAGGCCTGTCCTACTAATGCCAGGGCAAGCTGGGAGGGGCTCCACCACCATTAGCGAAGCTGTTCTGATGCTCATGGGGAGGGCTGGCAGTGCTGCCAGACCTGTGTTCAGCGAAGGAGGAGAGGGCTGAGATGCCCTGGGACAGAGGAAGCTGGGAGATACCTGGGCTGCTGTTCCCATCTGCAGGCTTGCTGGGCAAAGCGACAGGTTGATAAAACCCCGCTGTGAGCAGAGTGGGAGCCTGGCTGCACAAAGCACCTCCCCTGGTGCCCGCGGGCCAAGCAAGCAGCTATGGGGTGAGCAGTCTGCAGGGCAGGGAGCACAGAGGTGTTCTGCGAGTCTCCGAGCCAGCCCTCAGCACAGACTTGGCCTTTCCCTCAAAGCCCATGACTTCCTGGGGTGGGAACAGGTAGTCTCTGCCCTACATACCCGAGGGCAGGCACTGGGCCCCTCCAGGCTTCACCAGTTCGGTGTTGGCGGCGATGGTCTTGCAGATGCGGCACAGGCTGCCAATCTCTTTGAAGAGGTTGAAGCTGTCATCGTAGATGACGCTGCCCTTTCACAAGGAGACACAACAGCGAGAGCAGGACACGTGAGGCACACATCCCACCACTGGCAACGTGACCAACCACACAACATTGAGCTGAGCAAGGAGTGGCCCCGATGCTGGGCACTGCCTGAGCCTCCCAGCTCCACACACCTGACTGGGAACAAGACACTGTGGCACTAACAGCTTGGCAGGAGTGCTCCCTACCCTCACAACACTGCCAGGTCATAGCAGTGTCCAAACCCCAGCCCAGCCACCTAAACTGGAGGCCTCTGTGCCCCAAGGACTCTCCCACCCACAGGGCTCAAGGCCTGTCCACACACAAACCCCACCCCAATTTGTCTGCCCTGGTTTAGGTCCACTGGCACAGCTCTTAGCGTGAGCACAGCTCTACCAGGATAAAGGACCGTAGAGCAATGGAGCTTATCCCTGTAAGGGAAAAGCCAGATGTGAGGTACTGCACAGCCTGCAGACTGGCCAGGATTCAAACCCAAAAGCCAGGCTAGCAAAAAGAGCTCAAACTGCCTGCTGGGCATCAAGGCAGACTGCACCAAAGTGCCTTGCCCCTTTGGCAGGCACAGGCCCTTTGCCCCCGAGTGCCCTGGCTGCATCCCACTCAGCTCCGGGAAGAAGAGTGGGTGCTCTGCCTGGCCCATCCTTGAGGAGCCAGAAGCTCTGGGGCATCTCTCCAGTGACACTGATTAGCAGAGGTGCACTGGGGAAGTGGCAGTCACATGTCAGGCTATCTGGCTTAGGAACTAAGCTGCCCTGGGGCAAGTCACCCTCAGCAGGCTCTCCCTCGCAAGGCTGATCCATATTTATTTATGCTAATACCTCGCAGCAGGGGAGGCAATAATTACAGAGCGAAGGCTGTGGAGCTTGCAGCTAGGTTGATTTGCCTCTAAACCCCCATGGAGAGGCTGCCCGGTCTCACAGTTATTAGCTCTGGGGCTCGGATAGCGTTGGAGCACTTGGAGCAAGCTCTGATTTCTGTCAGGCAGACACAGTAAGATGTGGGTGGGCTCTCCTCAGAGCCTGATCCCAGCGTGCCTGCCTCCACTATTCTCTCGGGGCAGCAGTGGGGACAGCTGGCTGGGCTTTGTGCTTGTGACTCCCGGGAAAGTGCGTGTACCATGTCTCCAATGACGTGGTTATCCGGGCGCCGAGTGCGGTTCACCCCTCGGATGCCAAACACCACGAACACCATGGCTCCTGTGTCCACCAGAGGCCGCACAGCTGGCTTCCCACAGCCTGTGTTCATGCAAGGGTTAAATCCCGATGTGGTAGAGGGCTTCACCTTAGGGGCTGCTGTCAGAGCAAGAACAGAGGAGGTTAAAACATGCAGGCAAGCAAGGAAGGCAGCCACAGTAGACAGGCCAGCCCTCCTTGAGCAGCTGTAGCTAGACAGACCCAGCCACAGGTGATAAATACATGGGGGCCTGAAAGCCCTGGCCCCTCTCAGGAAGAGGCCCTGAAATGGGAACATCAAATCCCAGTCCCACTGGTGCTGGGTAGGCAGGGGGTATCTTGCCATGGTGGCATGGCTGGTGTGGGGCTCCTATGAAGAAGGCAGGAGGGTGGTGAGCCCCAAGCCTGCAGCAGATAGCCAGCATCTGCTCCCATCAGCTCTGCTCTGGCCATGCCACTGTGTAGGGGCATCATCATAGCCTCCCCACACCACCCCGACAAAAATTAAAGTTAATGCCTGCAGACCCAGCCCTTGGCCCTACACTTCCACCTCACTTACCTTTCTCGCTGGGCACATAGAGGATACCCTTGGTGGGACCGTCTGGGCTGGAGCTGAGCAGACAGCCAGGGGGTGCCACACACACCCTGCCGTGGTACGGGGGCTTGTGTGACTGGGCGAAGTACAGCTTCCTGTATGGCACACAAAGCCCATTATGGGATATTCTGAGCAGGTGGAAAGGCAGGGCCCCACGCCACCTACTAGCAGCTGAGTCAAGGTCTGACAGGGCAAGACAGCACTGGGGCTTTGCAACAGGGAAATGTGCCAGGGCAAGGAGAGGCAGGGAAAGAACAGGACAGATGGTCTGGGCAGAAGGAAGGGTGAGAGACAAGGAGCTGGAGGGAATGACTGGTTTATCATGCAGTACCTCCATCACACCCCCACCTCTGCCTGGAAGGTGCTTGCTACATCCGTAGTCCCACCAGTCTGGATTGCACTTTCCATCTGGGATGCCCAGGACCTGTCCCAGGTAGGGGAGGGGCATTGCAACACACCCAGGCTTTGCAGATGGTGCTGTTCTGCTCATCATGGCCTGGTGGAACATGGATCTCCCTGCTAATGGCTGGTGGAAAATCTCTAGCAGAGTGGAGCAGTGGAGAGGCTGCAGTGCCTCAAGCACCTGGTTCTGCCTAGCACAGGGCAGCAGTGAGGTGACACGGCTTAGGCAAGGAAAGGAACCCAGGAGTCCCGTCTCCCCCTGCTTGCACTAGCCACTGCTGTGCCCCTCCCCAGCTCCGTGCCCCCACCCCCCGGGCAGTTACCGCGTGCGTTGCTGCTCTTTGGCCGCCACGTAGAAACTGAAGTCGAACTTCCAGCCTCTCTTGGTGTCGCAGGACAAGGTGGTCATCATCCACTTCCTGGGGCTCTTCTGCGTAAGCAGCCCTACTGTGGACACACAAGCGGTCAGCTTCCTGGTGAAGTTACCGAAAGGCGCTCTATACACCTAAGCAATGGATTAACGAAAACAGACACTTAACTCCACAGGGCCGCAGCTGAGCATGCCTTAGTATCACACCCTCCCCTGGGCCCTGGCCTGGCCCAGTCCCAGAGTGGGCTTGGACGGGATGGGTCAGATCATTGGCATTATGACCCCATCCCTGCACCCTGCTCGCTTCCCGGCACATGGGGAGCAGAGTTATTGTCAGTGTCCGACTTCCAGCAGAGTTGAGTGGTTTGGTTTGGCCACACATCTGCTGTCCAGCGTATGCAGACAGAGAGCAAAGGTTCGGCTCAAATGGCACGGGAGCTTCTGCGGGGTTGGATCAGCAGAGGAAGCCTGGCTTCCCATAGCCTGCTTAGATCTTCCTTGGGACTGAGCTACCCCCAGCTCCCACAGAAGTGTCTGCGGTGGAATGAGGTCTCAAGACAAGGCACAAAGTGTTCCAGTAGGTGGCTACCAGGGATGGCAGAAGTAGTATTGGTGCCAGCTGAACTGCCTACAGGGCGAGCACTGCCCTGCGACCCCCCCAGGCCCCTGCACAGTGGGGGTGAGACACGTGAGCTGGTCACCTGGGGTGGACTGTGCTCCACCTTCCCTAAACACACTCACCTGGAATGAGGGCACCTCGCCATCTCCCGGGGACACCAGCTGCCAGGGGGCAGGAACGCTGGCGTTGAGCGAGAACCTGTAGATGGCTGGCCTGCCCTTGCTCTTGGACTTGGAGATGTACACAGTCCCCTGGAGATCTAGAGGGCACAGCACAATTGGGGGGAGGGCAGTTATCCACAAAGGTGCAAACACAGAAGCTTCCCTGACATACTTTCCTCCCCAGCACGACCCTCCTGACAGCAAGGCCCCTTCCCACAGGGCTTTCAGAACAAGTGTCTGGTGCAACTCCCACTACTCCACAGACTTCCATGGGTGATGCCAATTTATGCTCAGTTGGGAGCTGGCCCCTTAACCAGCCCATCCTCAAAAGCACTCCCCCCACCCCAGTAGCTGGCAGGACTATCAAGCCCTAAGCCAGGGGAGTGAGGAACAAGGCCCAGAGGCTCCTAGTCCTAGCTGTGTGCTCAGGCTACTGGACCATGCTGCCACTCTGCTAAGCAGTTCCTCCCAAAGGCCTTTCTACTGAAAGTCTTGGTCCCTGTGGGGTCTGGGGAGCAGAAGCGGCGGACACGCTGACAGCTTAGAGGTCATCCAAGGGCAGGATGTTCCCAGGAGCTCCTCACCCACTGAACCATACTACATTCGTCTGGGGCTTGGTGGGGGTGTCTGCACTCTCTCATCTGCTGAGAGCCCACTCAGCTGCCATCTTTACTAGCGGGGACCTGGGGCACCTCAGAGCACACACCCTGCCTAAAGCCAGAGAGTACCAGCAGGTGTTTGAGCCTTTGTTGACTTACCTGGCTGTGCAGCCTCACCCGTGCCCCCTCTGCTCCCCCAGGGAAGTCCTGAGCCCCGCTTCTTCTTCTCCAAGGAGGTCCGGATGTTGTTCTGCAAGCTGTGGGGCTTTTCCTGAAACAAACCTGTCCCACAAGGTTAGTCAGGGGGGAAAAGGGCCAGGGGCCTGATCAGGGACCAGTCACACCAGTGCACCCTGTACAGGCAGGGAACACACAGGGGACCCTGCCAGCCTGCACTGGTATCACATGGACATTGCCCTGACTGGCCCTGGGCAACATGCTGAGGAGGGGGGCTTGGAGGAGGGGAAGACACCAGCTGTCAAGGCTGAACAGCACCACGTGCAGAAACAAAAAGGAAGAGTTTTGCTTAATACATACCTCAGTCCCCAACCCAGGTCACACCATGAGAAGCCCTCACCTGAGCAAGTGACGCAGGAGATGCCCTCGGCACTCAGGTTGTACTTGAGGTCCAGCAACACCTGGATGTTGGTGTCGGGCCGGAACAGGATGGGAGCGCGGCTAGCGGGGCGGAGGCGGCTAGCGAAGAATATGGACAGGATGAGGACTAGGACAAAGAGCCCTGCAATGAGAGGCACAGCCAGCGTGTGGGACTCAGCATGACTCTCATACTTTTGGCATCTCCAGGAGCTTTCCAGAGATGTGCGCCCAGGGCAGTGGGAGAGAGGGCAAGGCAGGCCCCTCAGGAAGCCTCCAAGCACAGAGAATCTGGGTCCCCAGCTGCCCAGGGACAGAGCGCTGCCCAGAAGCCACTTCACTAGCCACACGGGAGCAGTGCAGCTGTGTCTGCTAAACCCCAGCGGGGAACTCCATGCCACCTGGGGAAGGCTGGCAGGGTGGGACGATGTCTGAGCAGGAGTGCATGGCTGGTGTTCCCAGCACTTGTGTGCAGAGGGGCCAGGGTGTGAAGTGCCCTGAGGAAGGGCATCTCCTGCCCATCTTACCCATGATCACCCATCGGCTCTTCACAGCAGACCACAGAACCCAGTGCTGAAGCAGCTCCTGCAGGTGGGCTATCAGGTGACCACGGCTGCTCTTCTCAGTGGGGCCCTGCAAGCTCTCTGGCAGCACGGACACCAAGGGCACATCCCCCATCTCTGGAGTCACTGTGGAGAGAGGCCAGAGGCATCACCTAAGAGCCCTGAACCCGGGGCTGCAGGTTCGGTCGGGCAGTGATATCTAGAGGTTTTGAATCCCAAGCCGTTTGCAAAGAAACACTCTTTGCATCAACTAGAGCTGGGAGGAAGAGCTTATGGTTAAGGCACTGGCTTGAGGTTTCTTATCCTGCTGGCCACTTCCTAGCTCCCCTGGAGGCCACTTAACAGCCTAATCCAACATGGACTCAAGTCACATGTGGGGCAACTGAGGCACAGTGGGGCACCATGACTTGTGCAAGGCCTCCACAAACCAGCAGCACTCCTGGGAGAGAAGTCAGGACAGCCACTAGCAAACATTCCCTGTCCTGAGAGGGACCCCAAGCACCTACACGAGTCCTCCTCCACGTCGAGCAGTGGGATGTCATCATCGAGGTACGGGAGGGTGCCCCGGGCTGGCCCAGCTGCAGCCTCTGAGACGATGAACAGGTCATCAGCAGTGTGCAAGGAGCTCTTCTTCGTGCACTTCTGACTGCAGCTACAGCAGGGAGGGAATCACCCAGTGTAAGCGGCCCTGTACCCTGCAGCCAGCTGCCACCCAGACCTGAGCAGAGCATCAGCAGAGTGCTCCACCCACTCAGCCTGGAAGTCCACAGCCAAAGCCACACCATCAATTCCATGGCTGCTGTGTGGGGTGGACAAGGCCAGGCTGACAGTGGATCACCAAGAGGTTGGACTGGGCATATGGGGCAGGCTGGGATCAGGACCCCTGTGTGACAGCATTTCAGGTGTGTGCTGCTCTGCTAAGGAATTACACCTGGCCAAGTCCAGAGCCATGCTAACAGGAGGGAAGAGGAGAAATGCAAGGGCCCAAGCAGGTACAGATCTGCATCTCAAAAGCTAGGCTCCCTGCCTGCCTGCAGGGTCTGCATGCCCGCAGCTCAAGGACTGGATGCTGGGAGAGTTCCTCAAGGTGTACAAGTCACAGTGCCTCTGCCAGCCTAGGGGGCTCTCACCTGGCTTGACAGGAGCTCTCCAAGGGAGACAAGTAGAGGGTCCAGATCCCAAGGGCAGCCGGCATGGTGAACAGCACCGCCACCCAGCAGCAGGACACGATCAGTGACATGAAGAGCCCAAAGTCATGTACAGCTGGGATCTGCACAAAGAGACAATTGGGACAGGGACATAGGGGGCTGAGAGTGGCCACGGCAATGGCCCCGCTGGAGGTATGTTCCTATGGCCCCTCTGCCTGGCTACCTCACGAAGGCAGGGGTTGCAGTGGGAAGGCAGAGGGGGCAGACCATCCCATTGCTGCAGCCTACCTGCGAGAAGATGTTGGCAGCATAGGCCGCAGCAGTGGTCAAGGAGGTGAAGAAGGTGGCCTTGCCCGCTGTCTGGACAGTGTGGATCATGCGGAGCCGCAGGTCCTTGAGGTGGGTAGCTTGGCGGTAGGTGTTTATGAAGACAAAGACATCATCCACACCTGGGAGGGGACAGAGATGCTTAAACAGGGCCACTCCTGGCAGGTGAGAGTCAGCACCACGCCCTGAAAGGCAGTGCAGAGAGGCAACCACCCCCAGAAGAGGCTCTGGCCCCCAAAGTGCAAGTGCAGCAGTTCTGCGGAGAGGAAGCTTTGCCCCACAAGCTGTCTGCCCCATCCCCCTTCTCTGCACTAGTTTTCCCCACACCGGGTGAGATGACCTCCCAGTGCAGGTGGGGCCTGGCCGCACTGGCAGGGCTCTGAAAAGGGAGCCTCTTACCGATGCCCACGATGACGAAGGCAGCCACACCATTGAGAATGCCCAGGTACTGGATCCCAAAAACGACATGGTACAGGAACAGGGCCACCAGGCAGCTCAGCCCAATGCTGGCAATGCCAAAGAAGGATAGGAACACTGCAGGGGGGAGCAAGAGGGAGGAGACGCCAAGGCTGAGGACACACCTCCACAGTGCCCGAGTTGGTCTAGAGACTAGGGATCCCAGCTCTGGTCCTGGGATGAGGGTGGCTCCCAGGGTCAGAGGAAAGAGCTCCTGCCCCTCCTTTTTATTTTCATTTGTTCAGCTGGAAATGCCAGTGCCTGATTTATGGAGGTACTAAGCACCCCCAGCTCTAATGGACATCCAGGGGGAAAGCAGGCCCCACCACCTCTGGAAATGGCACCCATTTGGGAACCTAAGTTCAGAGCCTAATGTTGCCAGCAGTGACATCCATGTCCTCGATGTGAAAGTATGGGGCAGGGAACCAGCAATGGTACATGAAGCCTTCCACCCCCACCCAGTTAGCAAGAATCAAAGGGCACATGTGGGTTCATCGCAGAAGCCAGGGACTTCCCTGCACCCCTCAGGCTCAGCGGGAAGGGAGATGGAAGCACCGCTTACCTGAGCAAGAGGTGAGGATGTAGACCAAGACTGCAATGCAGCTGCTGCTGATGAAGGCCAGCAGCATGTCATTGTTGAAAGTCTTCCTCACCTCGTAGTCGAACAAATCTGTCCCACCATACAGCACCTGCACCTTACTGGGTGGAAGAGGGAGAGAAAGGAATAGCATGGAGGTGAATGGACAGTGAGGGCATCTACTGAACACAGCTTCTCCTCCAAAAAGACACAAGGGCACCAGCCTGGGCACTCGGTCACATTCCCAGGTAGCAGGTGAGGTGCTGGAATGGCATGGGACAGGGAGGAGAAGCAGGTGGGGTCTGCACAAGAGGGAGCTCGAACAGCAAGAGCGGGTCTAATGCTGGCACAATAATTCTTCTGGTGCCCAGTGGCCTGCGGCATTGAGTTCTTGCCATCAGTAAATAGCTCCTGAAGCCCCCAAAGCCAATTCCATCTGGAATCTTAATCATTGCTTATTATATTAAGCACAAAGGTAATAACCAGTGGATGCAGCCAGAGTGCTGGCCTAGTGAGAGCTGGGCAATTTACTGGCCTCTGCTGCTGGAAGCTGGCTCAGAGAGGAGGTAATCCGAGATAATTAAAGCCAGGAGCACAATAACCCAGCACTGCAGAAGCCTGCCCATAATCCAGTCTTCGCAACAGCTCATCTGCTCCCCAGCTCCTGGTGCTGCTCCCCATAATTGCAACCCCCCGCCCCTCCGTCCTCGGCTCCTGGCTGGGAGGACTCTGCGGCTGCTTGCCATTCAGAGCTGACAAGGACTGGCTGCACTTCGCTTGGCTTTTGAAGATCAGAGTCTCCTCTGCCCAGGAGCGATTGAGATTCAGTGCAGCAGGGGATGGAGGAGTGGCAGCAGATGCAGGCAGGTGGCAGGATGGAGCGCTCTCCTCCCAGCCATCCCATTCCCAGAGCTGCTGTCCGGGACTCAGTGCAATCGCACTCTCCCTGCCTAGGCTGGTAATGAGGCTTGCCCAGTGAGCGTGGAAACAGAGCCCCAGTCTCCCCAACCCAGCCACGGTGCAGCACTGTAGAGAAGGGAGCCCATGCAGCACCCTGGGCAACCCCACCCACTGCCCCACTGGCATCAATGCTCACAGGTGGAGTGAAGTGGAGGAGCAGACCCCACAGCCTCCAGCGAGGACTGCTACACCACTTTTAAGAAACCAGCCTGGGCCAAACGGAGAGCTGATATAAATGGAGACAGTTCTGCTGGGACTGGACGGGTGGAAGGAAACTGGAGAAGAGCTTGATAAATCCCTTCCTGGCTTTGAGTGAGGCCTGGTGGGAGCAGCCACACCTCGGGCCATGGCCTGTCCCTGCCCTGAATGAACCCACTGGCTGGGGCTCCTCTGCACACCCATGCTGGACCCCATTGTCTATCCCACTATAAACCACACTGGTGTGACCCTAAACCTGTGCTGTGGAGCTGCCTCCCACTGTATGCCCAGGAATGAGAACAGGAGCTGCTCTTCCAGCCTGTGATGCCAGCTGTTGCCAGGTGCGTTTGCACTGCAGGAGGAGAGGGACTTGTAGCTTGGGTCCACAGCTCTGCACTAGCTTTAGCCTGGTCAGCTTTGGCACCACGTATTGTGAAGCTGCGGCAGCAGAGCATCAGCACCAGCATGCCATGCAAGTACCACCCCAATGCCCGTGGCACGGGCTGACGTCTCTGCCAGCATGACTGCTGCTGGGTGTCCCCTGCACAGGCTAGCTGAAGCTGCAATCCAGCTCTGCCTGGCATTTCAACGTCTCACGAACACAACTGTGGTGCAGGAGGAGCGTGCTAGCGAGGTGTGTAGGAAGCATGTGAACCACAAACACTGTGCAGGCTTCTTCTGCTTCCCCCAAAGCATCATGCTTTGGTTGCTGACCAAGGCAGGAGATGCAGCCAGACCAGGCACTCACCTGAGACCCACAGCCACATCCAGTGCTCCTGATGCCCCCAAACAGCTGGACACCTCCACTCAGCTTTACCCCTGCAGAAGCCCCCAAGCACCATCATGCAGGGAAGGCGAATTAACTCCACGTACACCTGACACGCTCCTTCAGCATCTCCTCAAACTCCCGCCCCCCCCAGGCCCCGAGGCGCCTGCCTCACCTGGTGGACTGCTTGGCCAGCATGGCCACGTAGGTGACCACAAAGCTCTGGAACTTGTGGCGCTGCTCCTCCCACCGGTCCTCCACCGAGTAGTAGCTGGGCAGCGGGGCCCCGAAGAGGATCTCACTCCGCAGGAGGGAGCTCTTCATGTTGTCTGCAGACAGCCCTTCGTCCACATACCAGTAGAACTCAGGGTGGGTCATGGCCAGCTCCAGTGACCCTGCGGAAGGGACCAGCAAGCACTTTGTTAGACGCAGCTCAGCTGATGGAGTATGACTACAGGAGGGGCCCAATGCTGGTGGGGTCAAGAGCACCTGCTGGCTTAGGGGACCTCTTCCAGCCATCTGTAGCTTTGAAGGGCTGCCCTGGATGGTGCTGCCTTGCAAGAGGTCAGGCAGGGCCATGGAAGCCTCATTGCCCTGACTCACGGCCACCTCCATGCAGCTCCTCGGCCCACCATGCTGCCATGCACGGTCACCTCAGAGCCACAGCTGCTCTGAGCACAGGGGCAGGCCAAATCAACCTGGACTACCAGAGCTGGCCACATCCTCCGCCCTGTTAGACAGGGGATCCGAGCAAAGTATCCTCAGCGCACTAACCTGCTTGATTCCCACCCAGTGCCCTCCTTCTGTGTGTGTAACCACCACATCCCCAAGCTGGGCTTGAGCTCATCCTCCCTGCCTGGCACACCCAGGAAGCAAGGCTGGAGCTAAATGTGCCATGGGACCCTGCGGTGTGATGGGACTGAGGATACAACAACGGGGAAGGATGCGCTAGATGGCACGCTGGAGGGACTCCAAACAGCAGCACAAACTGCACGAGTCTAAAGCAACTGCTAAAACAAGGCCGTGCACCAGCCCAAGCACGGAGGGGGCAGGCATTCCTGCAAAACAGGGTCCCATGAGGAAGAGACAGAGTTCCTCCCAGCGCATTGTGCAGAGCAGAGCTGGCAGCACAGAGTCACAGGCTGTGACACCCCCCACCCCAAATTCCAGGATGCAGGAGCCTGTGAGGACAGAGCACGGCCCCTGGGCCTGCTTTGGAGCTGGGAGCCGAGGGAGTTAGCAGCTCGCCTGCTCCCTGCTTGGCTCCCATTGACTTACAGCTGCAGCATGTGCCTGGCAGACATAAAAAAGCTCCTTCCCACAATCACATCCCTCCCACCGCCCAGCCGTGAGTCACTTCCAACTCCACAGCCACCTCCACCCCACTGCAGCACCAGGGAAGAGGGATCTGCTAAAAGCAGCACATCCTGGGGATGACTTGCAGGGCAGTCCCTCAGCCATGACCACCCTGTGCTATTAGTCCCACTGGCACTAGGAGCCCTTCCATGCTACCCTGGCAGTGGCCACAGTCAATGAGTGCTGGGGGAAGAGGCCACTGCCTGAACTGGGATGAGGCAGGTGCTCAGCTGCAGAAAGGGCCGCTCCTCCATCACTCAGCACCATGCATCACCCTGAGCCCCAGGCAGAAGACAGCACGTGCACCCTTTCTATTCTGGCGTGAGTGATCCTAAGAGGAGCCAGGCCATGGAGGGCCAGCCCAAGAGGCTCCTGGCCTATTTTTGAAGGGCCCAGCCAGGCTACCAGCTCAGCAGCAGGATGGCTAGCACAAGGCCCTGAACCGTTGCAACAGGCCCAAGAGGATGCCAAAACGAGCACTGGCCTGTTTCCACCATCAGAGCCCCCAGCCTTGCACTGCTACCTGGCCAGGGCACAGTCCCGAGGGGAGCAGCCAAAAGGAACAGGACAGAAGGCAGAGGGGAGGCTGTGGGCCCTCACAGCCAGCCCAGCAAGCCCCTGCCTAGCATATGTGGTGATGACTGTTCCTGGTTGTGCTCCAGCAGGGCCTGCAGCCTGCTGGATGCTGCTCAAACGCACATGACGGATGCGACCATCGTAGAACCCTGGCAAGCAGGGGATCAGCGTGTGCAGCCCCTGCCCCAATACCCCAACTACTCCTGGCAGGTCCTGGCCCAACCTGCTCTTAAGAACCAGCTATGGGGATCCCTCCACCCTGGGCAGTCGATCCATTCCAGGGCTCTGCCAGCCTCATAGTTAGAAAGTGTCTCCTGTTTCCAAGCTACCCCTCCCCTGCTCCCATCTAAGCCCTTTAGGCCTGTCCAAATCACAGCAGAGCTGGGGCAAAGCTCACAACCTTCCTCTCTGCAAAAGCCTCACATAGCTGGAGATGTTTCCCCTCCCTGCTCAGCGCCCGTCCCTCCGACAGCACAGCCTCACCTGGGTCCCTTGGCCCCATCACCCAGGATGCATGCGGCTCACCTTGGATGTCAGCCAGGTCTTGCCCCATGCCGTCGTAGTAGATCTTGCCACCCTTTTCCGTGGGGAAGAAGTACGTCATGAGGGAGCTGGGTGGGGAGCAGTAGGAGTAGGAGCCCAGAGGCAGGTCCTTCAGGACCTCATGGGGCTTCCAGCAGAACTCCCGGAACCGGGGGTGGTCCATGATCTTGCGCTCAATCTCATGGATGGTAACCAGGCGCTCAGTGGTGAAAATGTTGTTTTCAGCATCCCCCCGGGCCAGAAAGATGAGTTCAATGCGCCAGTGGGCATGCGTTTGCGTGTTGGCACTGACATAGGCACTGGAGTAGTCCCAGCGCGAAGCGCCCCGGGGCACGCGGGAGCTTTGGTTGGCTGGGCTCTGGTGGGTGGTGGGCCTAGTCCTGCCTCTGGCTGCAGGCGGTGTGGCACTGCGCTTTAGCCGGGCGGGCCCCCCAAGGTGGGAAGCATTGAGGTGCAGCTGTTGAAGTTGCTCAAAGAGGAGCCGCTGCAGGGTCTCCGAGGTGAAGTCAGCCAGGTCCCGGCGGCTGCGGCCCCACGAGCCGAACTGGGACTTGAGGGCCAGGGTGAGGGCATCAAAGCGCTGCGAGGACTCGTGGTTGCGGATCTCAAAGGCATTGTAGGAGATGTCAATGTCCAGTGCCGGATAGTGCAGGAACATAGCCGTGGCCAGGGCAGCCGGGATGGCACAGCCCAAGAAAAGGATAAAGCCGGCACAGTAGGGGTTGGTGAACATCCAGCCAACTGTGTTCCAGAAGCCGGATACCGGCAGCATCGCAGGCAGCAGCTTGGGGCTCCACTGACACCTCCCGCATAGCTGGGGGCCCGCACTCCTCTTCGGAGAGTTGAAGGCAGCCTCCTCCTCCTCCTCCTCCAGCCAAGCATCCTGCAACAAGGGGTCGTCCTCAGCATCCATGGCCAATGCCTGTGCCAAAGCAAGAGGGGGACAGGGTCAACAAGCCATCCCGATCTGCACATCCGCCTGCCCTCCTGACAGCCCTGATCCTGTCCAGCTGTGAGGAGATCGCAGCCACCAGCTGCACTGACACCAGCCCCCAGGAGCCAAGTGCCAAATGCATCAGAAACAGGATGCCAAAGCAGGCCACCATGGCCATGCTGCTCTGTGTCCAGCACTCACTCCTCCCTAGGGACAGGGGTCATGGAGCCTAAAGGGGACGTACCACCATGTGCATACACAGAGCCACAGTAGTGGCGCTGCAGTTCCCTGACCCTTCCCCAGTGCCCAGAGACAGCTTGTGCTGTGGGATGAAAAATGGCAAGGACCCTTTGCTCCTCTCGGCAGTGATGGAAGGAGACTCTCCTTGTAGTATTTATCACTTTGTTCCCCAGCGGAGCACACAAGCCCACACATGTCCATGCACTGTGCACAGAGTGGAGCCTGCTGTCATGGCCCAGGTTGCCCAAGCCACCCAGCAAGGGGAAGGGGCAAAGGGCAGGAGCCCAACAGCCTGGCTGTGTCTGTGCAGCACAGGCAATGTGCCTCTAATATCCAGGACAGCTGCCAGCACAGCACCCCAAAGGCAAAGGCCCCAGAGGTTATTCAGCAGCTGACCCCATGCCTCTGACGCAAGCAGCCCCAACCCCAGGCAGCCGGGCGCTCTGATCCGCAGAAGGCAGCCACCGCTGTTTATGCCATCCGTGCCTATAGAAAACAACAGCAGTTGCCAGTGGTAGGAACGGAAAAGATGGCACTCTCCAGCTCAGCCCCGCTGCCCTGCACTGGGTGGAAGGCCACCACGGCTGCAGGCATGCCCCGACTCTGCAGAGGGGTCAGGTTCATAGGTGTAGGGTCAGAAGGGACCTGAGCAAATCATCAAGTCTGACCCCCTGCCTGGGCAGGAATGAATGCTGGGCTCATATGACTCCTGGTAAATTTAAGCTCATATGACCCCAGCTAGGTAATTATCAAGCCTCCTTTTAAAGACCCCTGGGGTTGCGTGGTGTGGGCAGGGGAGCACTCTGTGCACCCAGCCCTGCTTGGCTGCACTTCCCAGGCACACCTGTAAGGGCAGCCACATCCAGCTGCCAGCCATTTGTACCAAAGCCAGAACAGCCAGGCCCCGGTCAGGGCTGGCAACCCCACACTTTCACATTACAAGAAGTAAACAGGAGGAAGGGTCAGCGACTTGAAACACAAGCTTCAAAATCTACAACAGACACATGGGCACACTTGACCACAGACAGGCAAAGAAAGTCTCCTGTGACCCATGGCACCAGGTGGTTTTTCCAAGCTCTCTGCACCAGCACACAAAATCCATCTTGCCCTCTCCCCGCAGTGCTGGGTTTGCCTGCCTCTGTGTGCCACAGGCCCACTGTGCAGGCCTTGCCCCTACCAGTTTTGTGGAGGGCAGTGTATGGCACCAGCAATCCTTCGGTATCAAGGCCACAGTGGAGCATTAGCCTGGTCACATGCGCTCTGCTCACTGGGCCCCCGGTATGATCAGTTCTCCCCACCCGGGCTCCTAGCCCAGGGCTGTCTGCACCCCACTCTTGCAAACAAAATACCAGTCTGGTGGGTCACAACCCCCTCGAGCTGGCCTGCTAAGAGAGAACAGCTTACTATTGCTGGCAGGCAAAGGACATGGATCCTCTACTCAAGCCACCATGAGCCCCATTTCCCCCACAGCTGGCAGCTGCCCCAGCTGAGTACATGTATATAATATTTTAAAAACTCTTATCGGGGAAGCAAGGTGAAGAGCCATAATCATGCCCTATTTATTGAGCTGCTGCGGAGAAGGAGGGAAGAGATTGTAATCCTGAAACAGAAGAGCCTGGACGTGACCAGAAAGGAAAGCACGAGGGAGAAATGGAGATGGAGAGGAAAAAAAAAGCAAGTCCAGAAATCTGTCATTTCCAGAATTCCCCCCAGCCCGTCAGCCCTACCATGGAGAAGAGGGAAGCATCTTTGGATGGGGGAAGGGAGAAGCTTTGCTTTCAGGATGTCTCATAACTCCATTCTCTTGGCAGAGGTCTGGGTCCAGAAGCCAAGTCTACTTATCCCTGGATAAACCCAGGTAACTCCACTAAAGCTGGTGGAGTCACTGCTCCAGGATTGCACTCACCAACGTGGAAGGAAGTGGAGTCAGCCCAGCCAGGCTGCTGTGTGCAGGAGGGAGGGTGGGATTCGGGAGGGCAAAGGGCAGGTGTCTGGGGAGGCTCATGCTAGAGCTGGGATGGATTAGCAGTGCTCAGAGCACAACCTGGTTTGGGCTGGGGTTGGAGGCAAAACCAGGGGAGGTAGTGATAGCACTGGGCTCTCCAACACTGTCCCTTCCCCATCCCAAGCTGAACCCACAGGCCCCTTCCTCCTGCACCCCAAAGGGCTGGTGGCTCAGATCCAAGATCCTGCTGGAAGATCAACCCAGGTCCGGCTGGGGGAGGAGAGATGCACAATAACCCATGTCTTGGGAGAAAGCACAAGAGATGCACTAGAACCAGACAGAGATGGTCCCCCTGAGGGGCGAGCTGCACTGGGACAGTGCCCAGCAGGCTTGGCCACACAGGACTGCAAGCCCTTCAGGCTATGGAACAGCCTAGTCAGGTTGGCAGCAAGTGAGGAGCTCAGGTGTCCTTTGGCATCCCCAGCAGCCTGTGCCAGATAGCAGCCCCTTGGTTATTGTTGCCATGCCCCGACTTGTCCTGCCTGTGTAGCTCGGAGGAGAGAGAACGTGCGTGTGCATTCCCTGAAAATGCACGGGTCTGCCACTGTGGCTTGCAGCACGAGGGCACCCTGGCTCCCAGCTGGCGCTTGCGAGAACAGGCATGAGCAGTTGTGCAGCCAAATGCTCCTTCCATCTGCAGCAGGGAGAAGCCTTCAAGGCCAGCTCTCATCCCTCAGCCTACCACTGACTTGGCCTCCCCCTCTGTGGCCACTGGGGAACCTGCCCCCCCACAGCTGGCAGCCCGGGGTGCAAACCTGGTTGCCAAGTGGCTGGAAAGCTGCTGTGCTGCTCCATCACCATTCGCTTCCTCCTGCACAGTCCTGCCTAGCTCCCACCAGCACAAGCTGTGTCAGCAACCCCCAGCATCTGTATGTGTTGCAGGCATGGGTCTAGCACCAGAGCGGTGCAGGGGAAGGAAGAGGCCTCACTGGATCTCTATGCACCGAGCAGAGCTGTGTTGTTACCAGCTGGCTAACGCCTGCCACTCTACCCTGGCCCCCAGCCCAGCCATGAGCATGGCTTCTGGCTTGGCAAGCCACCTCCCTATTTCCCCACGGCTGCCAATACTCCCCAGCACCAGGCTGCACGCGGAGAAGGCTGCCCATGCCCATGCCAGCCCTCCCCCTAGCCAGCACAGAGGTGCAGGCCACAAGTGGCCTGTCCCCAGGTTCTCCCACCTTACCCAGGAGGCAGAGAGGAAGCCACGTCTGTGCACATCTGGAGAGCAGCTGCCTGGGGACAGCCACCAACACACAGAGATCTGGCTCTCCTTATCCCAATCAGGATTAGCCAGGTTCACCCACCCTGTCCCCCACTCAAACTCATGCCACCAGACTTTGCCAGCCAGCCAGCCAAATGTCACTAGAGGTCAGGGGAAGTAGCAGGAGTGCAGCTGGGTCAGCAGCACAGCTGGGAGTGCAGGCAGAGCTCAAGCTGTGCGAGGTAGGAGGAGAGAGGGGTCCAGATTCAAGCAAATCAAGACCTCGTGCCCCCTCTCACATCGAACCCCAGAGAGTCAAGCAGAGCCCCAAGGAACAGCTGCAAGGGGGCAGGGGGCTGGGAAAAGCTGTGGCACTGAAGGGACAGGCCATCCCAACAGGCTCAGAAGAGGCCCAGGGCAGCCCAGGCAAGCCCAGAAGTCCCTGCCTGCGGGACTGTCTCGGCAGCTTTGCAGACAAAGGGGCCCTGAGGCAGGAGAAGCCAAGAACACGCATCACATTGGGCAGAGCAGGGGTGAAGCCCCCCCCAGAGCCCACAGCCCCCCTGCATGGGTACAAGTGACAGCCAAGGGGCAGGGGCAGGCATGCCCCAGCATCCACATCCTCCAACCCTGCCCCCCAGCCATGCCTCATGCCAGCGGTCCGACCATGGCTTCTCTGATGTCTTGTTGCAGTTTACCAGCCTGATTGGAATAATGGATTAATTAAATGTTTAAGACACTGTGGAGCTGGGAAGCACCACAGCAGGAGTAATTATTTCTCCAGCATTTGAAGTGGGCTCAACACCCGATGCGAAAGAAGAGACGACACCAAATCCTGCGGCCTGAGCAGACTCCCTCTCCTCCGAGCCTGCACCCTCAGGATCGGATGGTGCCATTGAACTTTCACATCCAGGTCCAGCAAAGCCCTGCACGATGCCCACATGACTGGGAACGCTCGACCCCTGCTACACCCAGGAATACAAAGCCAGTCACTGCCGAGTCAGGGAGCGACGGTGACAGGCACAGAAGCTAATTACACCCGACCTGACTAATTAATGCTGACTTTCAGATTAAAACCTCCTTGCCAGTGTTCCATTTCAATTACCTAGTTGTTCCTCTCGCAAGAAAAAGGGAGGCTCATGTGCCGGCACGGGGAAAAAGCAGCAGGGAAAAAAGAGAAAGGCTTGAAGGAGGAGGGAGCAACAAATCCTGTCATAGGCGAGATTCCTATCGACAAAATAATTAAACTGCACATTGGCTGCTCCCCCAGGCAGGGCTCCGAGCACAGCGAAGCCTTCCACGGCCCCATTTGTATTCCTGAAACTCGCAGGGTCTATGCTGAAGGCAGCTCCTGGCCTCCTCGTCAGGTAAATAAAGTCTCTATGAGAGAGGGAGAAAAGACAGAGACAGAGACACAGAGACACAGAGAGAGAGAGAGAGAGAGAGAGAGAGAGAGAGAGAGAGAGAGAGAGAGGTTTTTTTGCTTCCTTGCACACAGCTCACAAACCCTTTCTAGCAGCCAGCAGCTCACGAGCAGCCACCTTGCAGAGTGGAAGACAGGGCGACCCCCATTGCAGAGGGCATGGACGAAATGCAGCCACGGTCCCGGGGCTCAAGTCTACCCTGCACTGCATAAGCCACACGGCAGAGCTTGAGAGAGGGGTTCACTGGTTCTCCACTTGAAAGGCCCCAGTATAACAGAACTGGGTGCCATGGCTGTCCTGCAGCTCAGGAAGAGGTGCAATAGTACCAGTAATCCATATGCACAGCCCAGGTCTCCAGTGGGTAGTGCCAGGCAACCCCTACCCAGCATGTTTCATCCACAGATCTCAGAGCATGGCCATCTTGTGCCCCAGTAGAGGAAACAGAGCTCAGGAAACAGAGCCAGGTGCTTAGGTGACTTACCAGGGCACCTAAGCACCTGGGCACTGACCCAGCCCCAACCCCAACCCCAGCCCCAGCCCAGTGTGAAGCCATCAGGCTGCATTGTGTCTCTATTTAACCTGACACCTTCCTGCCAGCTCCCCACACCAACGCCCCATTCCCCTGCTTATGCCACGTGTTAGGGCGAGGATGTGGATGCTCCATCACTAGGAGGTCTCAAGGCCAGATCAGACACACAACTGTCTGAGCTGGTTCAGATGGGACTGATCCTGCCTGGAGCAGGTGGTTGGGTTAGATCCAACTTCCTGAGGGCCCTGCTGGCTGGGTCGTAGCTGGGAAGAGGACCCAGAGCCCTGACCCAGCAGGACACTGATGTGATGGTCTGCATGTATGCTTGATGGTAGACACATAAGTGCCTTGCAAGCCAAGGCCCAGGTCTCCTTCCTCCTGAAAGAGGTAGCAGGCCACCCCCTCCCTAAAATACCAATGCAGACCAGTTCTCTTCCCCTGCTGTACGGTGACCATCAGTACAGGACAACCAGACTATCGTCTATGATACAAAACCAGACGCCTTTATGTCCTCTAGTTTCCTCTTGAGGGGAAAACCAAAGGACATAAAGGCGTCAAGTTTCGTATCAACAGAGGACAGAGTAGCAGAAAACTGGAATGTCCTCTATGATGGCCACCCTATGTAGGGCACATCTCTGCATCGTGGCATGCTCAGTTTCCATTCTCGGCCCTTTGCTGTCCCTCCCTGCTTGCCTCAGATCCTTTGAAAGAGGAGCAGATGCACCGCCAGCCCCCCAGGCACTTTGCAGATCAAGACATCAAGATGCCCTGGCCACACACTGCTGTCAAGACTGCAGTGTGCCAATACGAACACGTGTTTACTGGAAGAAAAGGCAGACAATTTCCATCAGGTTTTTTTTATTATTATTATTGCTCTTAAGTCACCATCCTCTGCAGTTCTAATTGGCCAAGGGAGGAATGAGACCAAAATAGGAAGTGAACAAACAGGGAAAGCTGGTTAAACTCCCAGCCTCTGTGCAGTATCAGGTACAAACGCTGTCCTAATTAAGCCCTTCTCTACCCAATCAATGGCTGTTCCATCTCGCCTTCCTCCCGATCAGCACATCTCACACTCCTCATGGGAGCATTTGCACCCGGTTAGGATCACAGCCACTAGAAATGGGCCAGGGAGACAAGGCCCTGGCTTCACGGGGCAAACAAGGTGGTTGCTACCCCTTGATCTGACGATGTCACTGGTACTCTGCATCCACCTGCCACTGCCAGCTCTGTGGCAATGACCTCCTCATAACTACGTATAGGAAAAAATCTATAAGGCGACAATTAAAGCTGCAAGGACGAGCCCTCCGAACGGGAGGAAATGCCAGATGGCAGGTGGACAGCACAACCTTCATTCAGCCACTTTCTTGACAGGTGCTTTACCTAAAGGCCTGTGCCAAGTTCAGTGAACAGAAGGGATGGCGCTCACTCAGAGCACAGCTCTTCAGGATGCCGTTTCCCTCATTTTCTCAGCCTGTGGCTCCATGCCTCCTTTGCTGGATACTGTTCAAACCCCCCCCAACGAAGGAATTCTGGATTTCCTCGTGGGCTCCCCCTTGCCGTGCCTCGGCAGAGCCTCAGAACGCTTCACTAATAGCGATGAATTCACTTACACAACCACATCTCTTGGAGGTAAGGGAAGGACATTACGCCCATTTCACAGACAGACAACTGAGGCACAGAAATTTCTCCCAGGTCTTGTCATTGGAAATGGCTGAATGGTTCTGCCTAAAGTTTAGCCGGGAAAATCCGCTCAGGCTGTGGTAGAGACCAGCTTGGGAAATATCACCCCAAGCAGTTAGTATGTGGCCAAGCTACAGCAGGCAGTGCTCAGCTCTGCTTATACTAATGCAGCCCAGGGGCTCATGCACAGGACCCGGGTCCCTTTCAGCCCTGTGTGCAGATGGGTCTACCCAGCAGCTAGGACAAAGGCAATCTCTGGGCACTACCATGAGGCCAACAGGAGTGACACCAGTGTCCCGCAGTTCTGCCCAGGAGCAGCACTTCCAAGGCCTCAGCAGTGCTTGCTATTAGCATAATTTCAGAGCATAATTAAACCACTTGATAACAATCAGTCTCTCTAGGTTACTACTGCTAGCAATGAGGGGGTTCAAATGTGGCCCTAGAGTTAATCTCAGAGGCACCCTCTGGGCCCATCCACAGTACTGATTGCAAGGCCACACTCATCCCCTAATGAGGAGGCTCCGCCGTCACTCAAGCATGTGGCACTTGCAGGGTCCTGTGCTCCAGCACGGAGAAAGCCAGTGCCGACATGCTTCCTGAACTTCCTGCCTAGCTCTGCTCAGAAGGTGCAGAGAGCCTGTCTAAGCCCTGGCCCCTTGCTGTTACAAAGTGGAGCGCCAGCTCCCAGCTCTGGTGCCTGCCTTCAGACGCCCCGACACAGATTTCAAAGGTGCTACGAAGCCCACCTGCTGTGGGCCTGGGAGAATGAGCTCGTTAACTGCATACAGATGGCAGCGCTCCAGTGCGTACCCTGAGCTCCTAGGTTCACCGCTAAGCCTTTGTGCGTCACTGAAGTCTCATGGCTGCTGTACGCAGAAACCTCGTGTTATCATGCCTAGGACAGACAGAGGCTCCCAAAGCAAAGGGATGAGCCCCTGAATAAAACAGCATGTCCCAAACACTTGCCTGCTTCTTCAGTGATAATCCTCACCCACCTTTGTCCCTCCCTCCCCCAAAAAGGTGGTGCTTTGTTGTCAGCCCTTGTGACGCACTTGGTATTCCAGCCCGCGTGTGCCAGCTCCCCAGTCTGCGTCACAGTGGCCACAGGAGCCACTCCAGGCTCTGCTGCTTCCTGGTAGCGAGCAGAGCTCTGACCTGGCTCCCAAGGCACCTGCTCCTTGCTGGACCCTAGAGCAATGCCGACCCTAGAGGCAGCTCTGCACAAGTTCCTCCCCCAGGACAAGCCTGCTCAGTCCACAGTAGCTCAGGGGTTAAACCGCGACTCCCCTCCCTAGAACCACTCGCCTACAGGAACTAGCTTGGAAAAAAGAGCTGTAGATAATGCAGCCCCTCTGCCCAGTCTTTTCAGCCCAACAGACCCTAGGACCCACTTCAGCATGTGGCCTGAGACCCCACCAGGGTCTCCTTAGCCTCAGGGGCTTGCAAAGGAAGTCCAGGTTGCAGGGACATGTCTCGCACACACCAGGGTCCCTCATTCGAGATGCAGCCTCTCAAAAGGGCCCAGTGATTCTCTTACATCCCAGCAGTGTAACCCAGCATACCCCCCACGTGGCCCCAATCTAGCCCCTGATCCAAGGAGGACAAGACTCTACCCCAGCCACCAATTGACAGAGCTGCCCCCTGAGCCCGAGTGGCAGCAGCTCATGGTTTTAGTGTTGAGGGCAGAATCTGGTCCCCAGCAATGCCTCATTGCATCTGGGTGGGGAAGCACTGGGCCTAAGCCTGGGTTCACCTCAGCAGGGGCCCCTGCAGCACCTTGGAACTGGGTTCAGGGCACCCACGAGGCATGGGAGCAGCAGGCACAGCTCCCTCACCAGCCCTCCCCACTGCCCAGCAATGTGCAGGCAGCAAGCTGGGAGTGGGGCTACCTGGGAGAGGACAAGGCTTTCCATAACTCAGGGAGAACTTCCTAGGAAAGGAGGGAAGGGATAGAAGCCCTTGGTGCCCACGCAGCATGTTGGCAGCTTCCCAGCCCCAGCAAGGGCTTAACACCTGCTGCCAGCTGCGTCAGCCATGCAGAAACTCGCAATAAATGTTACCACAGCTCAATGAGCATGGCCACGCAGCCAGCTGGAAGAGGAGCGGGCAGCTGGAATGAGCAAGTAGGCTTCAGAGGCATGGAAACCTCATTTGGAGCCCAGGACCCTTCCCACTGCAGAGGGGGGACACTGCGAAGAGGAGCACCACCACTGGCCTGGCTAGGAGCCCCGGAGAGAGAGGCTGGTGCTAGGGGGAAAGGTCTAGGGAGCAGGGAAGCTGTAGGGTGACAACAGCTGGGTCCAGGAGGCAGGAGAAGCAACTTCTGCCCAGCAGAGTCCCTACCCTGTCAGTGCTGCTACTAACCGTGCACTCCCGCTTCTTTTCTCCACCCTTTCTTCTCAGTTCTGCTGAGCACAGCCGAGGCAGCAGGGTGTAGCAGCACAGTACCCCTACCCAGATGGCAGGGAGCTGGGCAAACCTATGAGCAGTGTGGATCTTGCTGCTCGCAGGGCGCAACAGGCAAAACAGCACAACCTGATTTTCAGAGGGACTGATCACCCCCGGTGGCTCCTGATGGCAGCCAGTGCTGTGGGAGCCCAGCTTCTCTGGCAACAGGTCCCCATTTGTTTGTCCAAGGCAGCAGAATCGCTGGAGCCAGCCCCTGATGACAGAAGTGGAGCTAAGAGAAAACAGGCCTGGATTTGGAGGGGGGGGGGGGGGG